TTAAGAAAAAGTAAGCAGATTTCAGCAAATTCTACAAAATAATATTCTTATTAACAATTCATAATATCATGAAGAGCTAACCAAAAATTAAACTTCCAAGAAGCTGACTACAGAAAAACATGGATGTAAATACACAAAGTCAGTAAGTGTCCACCCATGGGCGGGCGTAGGAGAAAAATGGAAAATTGTATCAAATGCATGAAAAACTACGATATGAACTTGCAATAGTTGACAAAAGCACAAATGTATCATATTATAAATTCCAAAAATCCTACACATGCAACAGCTTTCCATTATAACACAAACACACAACAACCAAAATTACAGATAATTACCGAAAATCTGCTACTCTGCGTAATCCAGTGAACTGTTTCTGATGGGCCAGTTAATAATCTGATCTGGTGGCAGTTAAGGATGAAAGGAGTCCAGCTGCCTGAGCAGGCAATATATCCCCAAACCTTCCGACTTGCCCATCCGTTAATATCAACCCTAACCGTATTGTGCAGCCACCCCTAAACTAGAGTCATCCTCAACATCAGAACTTCGAGACATCTCGTCATTTTTGTAACTTTTCCATGAATTCCTCAAGTAAGCATCATCCGCGGATGTCGACATAGAGGTTCTGGCCGCATTCCTCATGGATAATGCTGGAACACTTCGGATAATGCAATTGAACTAGGATTAATGTGAGAAATATATAAGATATTTTTCTTACAAATGGATAGGATAGTAGTTACTACCTGATGGGAAGGTACTTGAATCGAGGCACTATAGAACAACGCATGATGTTTGATCCGGAGTTAGTGGGGAGCTTCTGTACAGAGTCTGTATGTATTCTATTAAGTTGCACAAAGAAACCAAAGAGGACACCATGTCTAAGGTACGCCTGTCTCTCGTTCTTCCAAAGATATGGCTCATACCTTAGGATTCAGTAAACACAACAGCACAAGATATTTGGCGGCATAAGACATTCATGTTTGGAGGAAAAAGTAAATAATAGCTCGGGATCCAAAGTAATATTAGAATCTAGATAAATAACATGATTGCAGGTAAATGAAGGAGCACCCATGGATATTAAAATTTCATCAAAGAAATTGTACGAACATGAAACAACTGCAGAAGACAGGTTCTGTTACAAATTGTCGGTGGTGGTTCCCAGATTTATTCTACAGNTTACGTATAATTATTTCCATGTTATATGGGACTAGCATGCAAATCTAGTTTAAGAAATATTTTTACAAATTGTTCGATTACACCTGCTTGCCGTGCAAATCTAAATATTTCCATGTTATATATATGGGATGAACAAACAAAGTTTATTTCTAACTCAGAGTTATATTCTCACCGGAGCTTGGAGTCAAACTAGCTTTTATACATGCTTATTAATGCCTACAGCTAAACAAGCCAAACTATACATCGAACCATATTACGAGTACCTAAACCAAGACTAACTCACCAAAACAAGATTACGCGTCCAGAAATAGAAGGATGTTAGAATGATAAAAGATGTTGTCCCCATAGAAAGACCGGCTGCCAACATAATCCCACTTACATAGCTTTTATTGCTTAACTTCTATTCTGATATTTGCATTCTATTGTTATTAGTAGTGTAATGACAGCTAAAATATCAAAAGGGCAAATCAACCAAGTTCAAGCACCTGGATGCAACCTCAACAAAATATTAGCCAAAATTTTATGAGGCGGTGTAAATGCAAAATGTTGTTTCCTAAAGATCAAGTCAGTTCAACAACTTACGTCAGCCAATCTATGGGATCCAGCCTTTGTGAAAGGCGATTCACTAACTCCTTAGTGCGTTGTCCTATTAATGAATTTTGTGACTCTGTTTTCTGNGCTTCCTTCTATAAGGAGATTTCACGCTTGTGATTTCAGATGCCTCCTTATTTGCATGGAAATCGCCCCCAGACAGGATATCAGAAGCATATTTTAAATCAAATAATACTTGTAAAACACCTTTGTCTGACACTTGTGACCTAAGAACTTCAGCTGACAGGAAGTCATCATAAATCCCATGAACCTACACAAGTATAACCCATAAGAATTCAGTGGAGGGCCAGGGGTAATAAGGATAATGAATAGGAAGGTGATATCTGTAAAACTGCACGCCCACTGAGATAAAGATAAACCTCTTTTTTAATACACATATCTGTTCCCCAAGTCTTTTAAGTACAGTACATGACATAAACATTGATCGACAGTAGATCCAAAATCGCTTTACATCCTTATTCATTATTTAAGTGGTAAAACTAAGAAAGATATATAACATTCAACTCCACGTATAACAAGTGAATCCTTTCAGATTGACCAAACAAATGATTTAAGAGAAACTAAAGTGAGCAGGAGATCTAATCCATCCCATTATCTATTTGTATCTTACCTCTCCCTATCCCTTATTGAAGATCCTTTGTTCGACACTCCTGTGGCACTATTTTTCACTAAATAAATAAATCTCACTAAAAGTTGTGTGCTGCTATAACTACAAAAGGCAAACATCAATCACGCACAGAGAATCCTCCTAACTTTTGAATCCTCCTAAGGTTGATGTGTCCAAGTCTAAGGTGCCACAGATATGCTTGATTCATCTGCGAAGACTCCTTCCTCTTATTAGATGTAGTTATGACATTATTCAATTCATTATGTTGCACTGTGGGAGAATTCGGTTTGAGAACATATAAATTGCCAACTAATGAACCACAACATATGAAACGATTTTCAAAACGAATAATAACCATGTCATCAAACGAAACTGAAAAACCATTCATAACGAGTTTAGAAACTGAAACAAGGTTCTTTCTAAAACTAGGAACATAAAGGCAATTTCTCAAAACCAAACTACTACTATCAAAC